CCAGCACAGGCCCGAACCCGCCATGCTGGACGTACTCCAAATGGAGCCCGGAGCGGAAGGAGGCGATCATCGACACGAGCCGCACCCCAATCACTCACTCCCAAGTCCTGGACAGTGTCGCTCGGCTCCTGAAGCTTTTGAGCAACTCCAGCTTGGTGCACAAGTTCAGGGCCACGCGCCCGCTGGCGGAGCGCTACGACTCCAACATCCTCACCTTCCTGATGACCGTGGCCACCAGAGGCGAGGAAGCCGACCAGCTGTTCGCGACAATGCTTCTCCTCACCGACTGCAACGCGACCCGTCTGATGTGCACCCGCATCGCCAAGGAACGCCAGCGCCGCCAGCCATTGGCGCAAGTGTTGTCGCAGGAAGCTCAGACGCTTCTCCGAGCAACCCAGCCCCGGGGCCGACCCTCGAGCGCACAGCCGGAGCAGGACAAGATGGAGGACTAAGGCCCCACNNCTGTCTACCTTAAGAACCCCCATAATGTTTGCTACCTTAACGCCACTGTCACCGGCCTGCTCTGGGCAGGCGACAGAGGCGGAGCGTCAATCTACGGAGCCTCTGCCCCGGCCTTCCGTAGCTTACGCACTGGTACTGCTAGGCGCCCCATCTACGTGCCAGGCTTGCTCACATGGGCGAGCCTCCTTCGCAATTGGGCTCACCTGGCACAGCAGCAGGATGCCTCCGAGTTCTTGGCTTTTCTTTTGCACAAGCTTCGCTCTGATGCCTTCGCCGGCACTTGGGCCGCCAGGCTCAATGATGGGGATGTCATTGAGCGCAGGGATCAAGGCGCAACCCCTCCACCGCTGCCCTTAGCCATGCCAGAACAGGTGCAAGGAGTAACGCTACAACAAATACTTAATGACTGGCACGCGCAGGAAGCCACTTTTGCGCTGATCAAGGCACCGCAATTTCTCCTTCTCCAGCTGAAGCGCTACAGACAGGTAGGCTCTCAGGTTCATAAGCTGCACACACCAGTTACGCTCAGCCCCGCTGCCAGGATTGATGTGCCGTGCTTTATCGACGAGGCCACACTCGACACCCAGCCTGTGTCCTACAAGCTTTGCTTCGTTGTGGCACATGAGGGTGCCAGCGTGCACGCAGGTCACTACCGTTGTGCCCTGGCCGTTGACGGTGACGCGCCGTCCTTTTTGCTCAGCGACGACGGTGTTGCGGCAAAACCCCTCAAGGCCACACAGCGCCCTTGGCTTGAGACCAACTGCTACCTAATATGCCTACAACATGTTTAAGAGCTGCATTTTGCCGCATCGCCTGTTGCACGGATGAAAGCATAGGCCATCCCACAATTAGAAGCTTCCCTAAGCTACCCTTCAACTTTAGTAGGTGGCCGTTGCTTTCACTAAACAGTTTTGTGTTCGGCACGTGCTGGCTGCTGTCACTGTACCGTAGAACCCTGCCCTAATACTCCCCTGTTTCAACCCTAACCCTTGCCGCAGCACGCCACGCATTCCCCCGAATACCTTAGTGCCAAGTGCAGCAGCTGAGCTGCAATACTCTCGGTCGTCTCGTGACGAGTGACCGGCCGGCGACTGCAGTGGTTACTCCTGGGCCGTTCTCTACAGCATCACTACAGTGTCTGTCATATCAGTGACTGTTGTTGCCCACATAACATGCTCGCTACTCCGCTGCACTCGCTTGTGTGTGGGGGGAAAACCCACCGGAGTAGCCAGCCCCATAGCCCGGTAACCCACGACAGTTGTTACAGACTTGCCTGACACAACAAAAGCCGCTCTGCTGCACTCTCTTGTGTGTGGGGGGTAAACCCACCAGAGCGGCCGATGTTGTCCAGTGCTACCCTTAAGACCTCTGTACCCTAAGCCCCAAGCCCTCCGCACGTCTGCAACAAGCGCAGTTTCCAGAGCTCTGTTGCGCACAGCGCCGCGGCGAGCCAGACTGAGCTCTTGACAGTGAAGCAGTAGCTACGCTTTAGGCTGTAGGTCATGCTGTTCATTTCATCATTTTGTTGCTTTGCAAGAACTTTACTCGACTGCTTTGCAGTTCGCTGCGGGTCGAGCTGAACTAACTCTTTTGTTGTGCGTAGGTTCAGTGTAGTGTTCGCTTACGTCC